GATTCAGGTTAAATTATTTTGTAAAAATACATCATGGATGGCCCCGTTGGCATGGCTCAGTGATTGAGTGTTGTCCTATGAACCAGGAGGTTGGGGTTTGATTCCTGGTCAGGACACATGCCCAGGTTGCGGGTTCAATCCCTAATGTGGGGCATGCAGAAGGCAATCAGTCAATGATTATCTCTTATCATTGATGTTTCTCTCTCTCTCCTTCTCCCTTCCTCTCTGAAATCAAGTATACATACACATTCCTTTACATAAGTGTAAAAAAATACTTTGTGGATGATGTTCAATATGTCATACTGTTATCACACCAGAAGGAATTTGCTATCCATCCATTATAATGATCCCATCAACTCTTCACCAAATGGTGTTTAGATTTTGTGGAAGATCCTTGTCCCTTGCTGTTATCAGTTCGATAATGGTGGGATTCTATCATTTCTTCTTCATGGATTAGCCGGAAATACTCTACAAAGAAAACTTCCCTTATCATTTATTTGGTTACCCTGGAGCACAGTTGGTTCAGGAAAGGCAGGATCAATGCCTGCTTCTTCCTCTTTATCAGTTTTCAAAAGTATGGCCTGGTTTCTCCAGAGGTAACTGATGATGAAGTCATGGATTTTAAGAGATGATGTTTTATCGGTTTTTATTCTTTCTGACGCTCAAATTGTCCCATTCCCTGCCCAGTGAGAGCCACTACAAGTTGGCTCCTGAGTTCTTTAGATGCAGTCCCAAGAGTCTTCACGAGTCTTTCATACTTCCCTTGCTTTCTAAGGCAACAAGATATTCCAGGCTCATCTTCTATGTTTCCTGCCTCAGAACTGGAATCAGTTATTTCTCCAAGGAGCCCTGGTTCCTTTTGATAAGAAATGGTACTTGAGAAGCCACAGTAGGCATGTTTCTGGGATACCGAGTTGTTCGTTACTTTTAGATTGTATTTCAGCTAAGAAAATAATACTTCCAGAGAGAAGATACATCATGTGCCCATACTGATATTTGTTATTTAGCCTGACTCATGTTGCTGAGTGGTTGAGTGTCAAACTATGAACCAGAAAGTCATGGTTTGATTCCCTGTCAGGGTACATAACCAGGTTTCAGACTTGATCTCCAGTGTAGAGTGTACAGGAGACAGCTGATCAATGATTCTCTCTCATCACTGAGGTTTCTATTTCTCTTTCCCTCTTTCTCTGAAATATATATATTAATATATATTATATATATAATATATATTATATATATAATATATAATATTATATATATATATATATATATATATATAATAAAAATAAAGAAGGAAAGAATGTTCATGTGTCCAAACCACCAGACATCTGGAAGATTACCATCTCAGACCAATCAGAAACTCAGAATGCAATACTAATTCTTTTCAAAGATGTAATTTTTACTATAACTCTCAATCTTTCTCTTTTCCCTCCCTCCCTCTCTCTCTCTCTCTCTCTCTCTCTCTCTCTCTCTCTCTCACACACACACACACACACACACACACACACACACACACATACACACTCTGAGTGCTTACCTGGTAGTATTTCCAATTTGTAAACCCTAAGACCCTTGAATAAAACTGTCATTTTCAATTTAGGCAAAGCCTCCTAATTCATTTACATTCAGTTGACACCATTAACCCAACTCCCATGCAGTCTCCAGATAGTTGCTCAGGCTAGTTAAGGACTGGCAGGATAAGCTATGCCCACTCCCAGCCAGGTGTATTATCAAAATGACATGCAGACCAAGTGTGACAGGAAAGTGCCGAGCAGCTGAAATCATCTCCCCATTCTTGTCCAGGTGAAGGAATGACTGCCAAGAGAATCCCACTTCATTTCTTCTGGAACATTTCCAAGAGACCGTCTAGCTGGGCCCAGGCCAGGAGAAGCCATCCTATTAAGCATTCCTAAGAATATGCCAGCTGAGACTAGTGCCAAGGAAGTGTTCTCCTGCCCCCACTTTCCTGTGCCAGAAAGTGAATGTACAGGTAAATACAAAAGATCGCATTTTTATATTTCTCCAGAAGACGGTTGACTAATGATAACAATTATGGCCCTAGCTGGTTTGGCTCAGTGGATAGAGCATCAGCTTGTGGACTGAGTGTCCCGGGTTCAATACCGATTAAGGGCACATGCCCAGGTTGCAGGCTTGATCCCCAATAGGAGGTGTGCAGGCGGCAGCCAAGCAATGATTCTCTCTTATCATTGATGTTTCTATCTCTCTCTCCCTCTCCCTTCCTCTCTAAAGTAAAAAAAATATATATATTAAATAACAACAACAAACCCACCACAATGTATTATGTATGGGGTTTATAAACTAAGTAACAGTGAAACATGTGACACCAATAACAAATTGCCAAAGTGGGAAATGAAGTTGTGATAACATGCTTACATTGTGTTTGAAGGGTAAGAATTCATCCCAGGCAGATGGCAATAAGTTAAGGAATCATATTGTAATCTATAAGGCAACCACCGAAACACAGAAGCATAATTAGAGGGGGTAAAATGGAATACTGAGAGGTTCCACATGGCTAAATGATTTACTTTGGCCAGCGAAGGTGAGTAGGCGTGATGTATGTCACTTCTGGGTAGACGCATTTCAGAGCCAAGACTTGGCTCTTGCTGTTTGGTTTCCTTGCTTTGTGTTGAGATGGCAGGATCGCAGGATGGTGTGCAGCGATTGTGTGGAACAATGCATTCCCCACACCCACACACCACTCACTTGCTGACATTCACTGGACATGCAGCATAAGAAATAAACTTTGTGTTAAGCCTCCGAGATTCTTGGTATTTGACGATTACACTTGCATTCCTGGAATAAACCCACTTAGTCACCATGTATGCATTATTTTTTAAGGTGCTGGCAGAGACTCTTTGTAAATAATTTACTTGTGACCAAAATCAGTTTGGCTCATTGGATAGAGAGTCGGTCTGCGGACTGGAGGGTCCCGGGTTTGATTCTGGTCAGGGTCAGGGACAGGGACTGGTTGCGGGCGCATCCCCCATCGGGAGCATACAGGTGGCGGCTGGTCGACGTTTCTCTCATTGATGTTTCTAGCTTCCTATCCCTCTCCCTTCCTCTCTGTGAAGAATCAATAAAATATATTTTGAAAAATAATAATTTATTTGTTTACTTCATTAATATTTTTAAGTTTGAAATTAATCTATAGTTTTGTGTGTGTGTGCAATCTATCAGATTTTGATAACAATGATATACTTGCTACATAAAAACAAGTTAGCCCTGACCGGTTTGGTTTAGTGGTTAGAACAAAGGCTTATAGACTGAAGGGTTTCAGGTTTGATTTCTTATCAAGGACATGCACCTGCAGGCTCAATCCCTAGCCCCAGTCATAGTGCAAATGGGAGGCACCCAATTGATGTCTCTCTCTCCCTCCACTCCTCCTTTCTCTTCACTCTCTCTATATAAGTGGGCAGTTAGGGGATATCCCTACCACATTTTAGCCAGAGAAGGGAGCCCTGATCCTCTAAAGAGGCCACCCTTGAGAGCTGCCCTGACTTCCAATTCCCTGAGTCGACATGAACCCTAAACAGGACAAACACCTGTTTGACTAAAGTGTCCCCGCTTACCTGCCCACTGAGGGACCTTCCCCTTCAGGGCAGCTTGACCTCCATGACCGTCTTGACCATTTATCACTGCTGTGCAGGCTGTTTAAACTGCTGACTATGGGGAAAAGGCTCCAGACCAAAAAACAATTAATCGTTAATGGGCTGTCTCCTGCAAGCCCCACACTAGGGATCGAGCCCTGGAAATGTGATAGGAAAACCTCTCACATGGAGGCTGCCTTTGCCTTCTCCGCATCTATCCCTTCTTAGCAGCTCATGGCTATCACGGGCTCATCAGTCCATGGCCCAAGCATGGACGGCCAGTGGTTCACTGGCAACGTGTGGGAGTCCAAGTTTTCTCCCTTCTCCACAATCACCACTGCCCCCTCCTGGTCTTCAGTTGCTAGGCCCCTAAGAGTGGAGTTTCAGGTGCTCACCTTGCTCAGCCTTCGAGCAAACATGTGTGGAGGTGACCTCATCAGAGACATCAGAGCAAGAGACTTCATGGGAATGAAATGTATGGACAGGACACTAGCATCTCAGGGGCCTTCTGGGCTCAATTACTGGTGTTTGAGAGTTAAAACTCTTACCAATCTCTGTAAAGGAGAGGGGCCATGTGTCCAAAGATGAAGCTACAAAGGTGCAGGGAATGAGGTATGACAACACTGAAAAGGCTGCAGGAGTAATCTTCTCTAGTCCACTTTTCTTTAGAAAGGCCAGAAAATGTTAAGTAGCCAAAACACACAGGGACAAGCATTTAAAAAATATGTAGGAAGGTCTCATGTGGTGGAAAAGTTTCCAGCAAAAGAAGTTTGAACCAAAAGCTGGACCAAACCCCATTTCTGCACATTCAGAAGTGGGCACCAAGCAGGCCCCTAATTGGCTTACGCTGTACAACTTGATTTCCCTCTTTGGACCCTTTTCTCTCATGTGAAAGAGGAAGTAACAGGAAAAGGGAAACAATCACAGCTCCTGGGGTTTTGTGGAGAACTCTTTTACATAAATATCTTTTTACATGTATGTGGGTGTCCTCCAAATGCTGGGCATTCACACAATTTCCGAATAAATCTAGAAAAATATCTACACTAACCATATAAATTTTAACCATTTTTCAAAACAAAAAGGAATTTAAAATGCAGTAAGGAATGAGGGCATTTCTGTCCTCCACAGTCTTCATTCACTACTGTAGGCAGCAGACACCACAGCTCGATTTGCTCCAACAAAGACACCAGGTCACTGGAAGTTTATTCACGGCGAAAGCCCCCAGAGGAGGATAAGTTCTAGAGGGTGACTCCCAGCGTCCCTCCATGTTCTCCCCAGGAGAAAGCCATCTTGCAGCCCAAGGTTCCCAGTAGACTTGGGCCAGACATATCTAGCAGTCACTGTCCTGCCACACTAGCCAGCATGGCCCAAGGTCCGAGAGGGGCCCTTCTGTCATGCCTGCTCACCAGCACTGCCTCCACTGGCCCCTGAGCCTTTGCCTGACGCCTGGGCTTCTGAGGAGCGTGAAGCCTGCTTTGGCAGGTGGATGGGGACGTAGATGTTGGAAGCAGAATGCTCCTTGAAGTACTCTCCTCCCTTCTCTTCATATTCTTTCCTGGTGACCCAGACGGCATCATCATCCAGGTGGTCCAAGGCCCAGTCACGAGCACCATACCAGGCGTCCAGCACAGGGTTAGAGGCAAGCTGAACCTGAAACACAGAGCACATTCATCAGAAGGCCGTCTCCATCAGGACTCAAGGAGTGAATGTCCAGCAGGCCCAGCCATATCCCCTTTCCATCCCCAGAAATACACAGGAAGACCCGATGGATTCTATCTCTGCACCCTCCTCACTCAGCTGAGCTGAAATGCCCCCGACTCTCCAAGTGACACAAGCATGCAAACACTAGCAGACTTGACCTCACAGTCAGCTACCTTATGAACACAAGACCTGCCTCTCTGGTCAGAGAGACCAGCTCCTCCTCCTCCTGCTCCAGTGATGTTAACCACAAGTTGTCAAATGGAGAGGGAGGCAGAGCTGGCCCCGATCCCCTCTCTGTAAGCAGAGAGGAGCAGAGGGAAGTGGAGGCTAATATGAGGCAGCTCCGGCCAATGGTTGCAAATGAGCACAGAGAAGATGAGAGCAGAGAAGATGCTGCTATCAATGCCGTTTCCATTGCTTATTATCAGAGTGAGGTGAGGAGAACGACTTATTCTCCATGCAGTCTTCTGTATCCTGTTTTTTACTATGTGCATGCCTTCCTTTTTTAATAAACAAAACATAATTCTCATTCTGCTTTTAAAATTAAACATAAATGGAAGACCAGAAGGAAAGCCACAAAAATGTTAGCAGTGGTGAGATTATAAAGTAACTAGAGGCCTGGTGCCCAAAATTCGTGCATGGGGCAACGTGCCGTCTTGGTTGCACCATGCAGCCTGCTGTTCAGTGGTTTGGGCATTCCTCACTAACCTCCCTGCCAGCCTTGTCGCTCCACCCAGCCTGTGTTCAGTGGTACAGCTGGTTGTTTTGGTGGTGACGGCAACTGGCTTTTTATATATATTAGGATTTTTCTCATTTACACTTTACTTACCACTTCTGCAATCAGAAAATAAAAATAATTAATACTATTTTCAAAACAGCTAGTTAGGCTCAGTGAATAGAGCTTCTGCCTATGGGCTGAAGAATCCCAGGGCTGAAGAAAGCCAAGGCACATGCCAGGGTTGCAGGCTCGATCCCCAGTAGGTGGCAGGAGACAGCCAATCAATGATTCTCTCTCACTGTTGATGTTTCTATCTCTCTCTCCCTCTCCTCTCTGAAATCAATAAAAATTATATTTTAAAAAAACAACAAGCACACATAAGAAATAGCTGGCAACATTATCAATCAGTACCTGAAAAGATGACTGAAAGGGTCTCATCGCCAACAGTTCCTTCTCGATTCTACCTTTTAGCCCAGGATACATCAAGTTCCCGCCAGTGAGGAAAACGTTCTGAACCAGCACCTCCTGAATGTCCTTTGGGTACCTAGGAGAGGAGGATTCCTCTGCTATGGCCCCGGGAACTTGAATGTCAGAAGAGAACGTACATGTGGAAATGTAAGCTCTCAGTACAAAGGAGAAAACATCTGCACACTTTTAAGAACTTCCAAGTTTCATTTGCATCTTTACAGAATGCTAAATATCTAGTCAAAACCTTACTTTGAGTGGTCAATTCACTTCTTTAGCATGATTAGAAGTTTTGTGCCTTTCTAACACGTTTTCTAATAACTAATTTCACTGAGGTTTTATTTACACACATTTTGGGAAAGTCTGGTAAATTATATACTTAGCAACTGACATCACCACACTCTACATAAAGAACATTCGCATCACCCAAGAAGTTTCGCCTCCCTTTTGACAGTCCATCTCTCTACCTCTGATTTTTTTTTTTTTTTTTTTTTTTTTTAAGTAACAGTTTTATCATATACACGTTTGGCCACTTTCCCACCGTTAGACCAAGCTGACAGCCATTCAAAGCAGCTGCAATAGCTTTCCCCCCTCCTGTTTATCCAACAGCAGCCACAGCACTAAAAGTCATGCTCCTTAACTTGTCCAAACTAAATTATGAAAACTCACACTGCAGGAAAATGCCTGTATAAACAGGAGGGGGGAAAGCACGCTCTTATAGAAATGCAAACTCCTAAATAAATGTCTGCAAGGAGGAAAGAAGACTTATAAGTTCTGCACATTTCTGGGTAATTTACAATCACTAGTCTTCAATGTGAAGGTTTATATGACAGCCAGTGCACGACATTACCACGTTACTCAAACCTAAAGGCCTGGCGAGAGATAGCGAGTACTATCTGAGCTCAGCAAGTCAATGAGAAGGAGAGTGTGAGAGAGAATTCCAACGCCTTGCCATCAAATCTACCATTCAAAGCCAAGAAAGTGGTTTTTGCAGGAGGGTGGGGGGAAGAGAAGTTTCAGTCTTACCTGTCCAGAATGTACTGGAGGGTCTCTGCTACTCCAGCCTGCTCTTCGCCCAGGAGAGACGGCTGGAAGATAATTTCTGGAGCCCGAATTCTTTCTGTCCCAACAAACAGCTGGTGATATGCTGCCAAGTTAAACACGGGCTTTAAAAACCCAAGGTTTAGAAGACATTTTTAGACCATATGACAAACATCCTCATTGCCAGTTTCCTCAAACTGCAGTTTATTCCAATATAGCTCCTGTCCTTTGCTCATGCCCGAGTAACCCCTCCCCAACTCTCTTCATTTGAACGTTCAATTTTCTAATCTTTTCCTGCTACTATTTGCATAATGAAATGACCCCTGAGTGCAGGGAGAGAGACTGTTAAGAGTGGCAGTAGAGAGACTGGAAGACCAAGTCTCCAGCACCCTGGTCCCTGAACAGCTGGGAACGCTTCCTCCCAGGTGTGTCTCAGACCAGGTCAGTCTCTCCGGCTGCTATTATGACATAAACGTAGACCCAAATGAGGACATTGGCTTACATTTGAATTAAACCACTAAAGCTAATCTTCGGGTATAAAGTCCCCAATTACTTATCCAAATGTTTCCACCAGACACACTATTACTCACAGATTCTTGGACCTTGATGATGGAACCCCAATCGATAACTCTGACTTTGGATGTTTTAAGTATCAGAACCCTCCTTTTTAGAAAATACAACTGGGATTTTTAAAAAATATCTCTAAAGGAGCAGACTAGACTAGCCTGGTCATTTATGTCACAGCTTCAAAACATGAACATGGTCGAGGTCACAGGGGTCCAACCTGGACAGCGGCAACTGGCTTCTCCACTTCCGGCGTTTCCTCTGAAAACAAGGGTTCAAAATCATTGATGTTCTCCACGTCTTCCAGGGTTGGCTCTAGAGGCTCTAGGTCAGGGGTCTAAGAACAGAATAAAGAGAACAGAACAAGCCCTGTAACTTCAGCAAGCTTCAGTTCTATAGCTCACCGTCACCGAAAGGAGTGAAATCTCCCAATGGCCTAAACTATGAAAAAATTTCTCAAGTATTTTAAAATAGAACATGCATGAACAACAAAGATTAAAAGATTGAAAAGCCAGGAATGGCTTTGGTTTGTCCCCCCCGCCCCCTCCCCCTTCCTACTTATATAACCTCAACTCCTACCCTCTCTCTGAAGCCTTCTGATGGGCCCACCCACACCTGGGGCACAGTGGGAGCCCTGCTGTCTGCAGGAGTCACACCACCACATACAGAACTCGGAGGCGGGGTGTGTGTGTGTGTGTGTGTGTGTGTGTGTGTGTGTGTGTGAATACCTGGTGTCTTACAAAGTGTCTTAGACCACGAGCAAAATTAAGTAAATCTCTTCGTAATTAGTAGATCTACATGCCAATACTAATGGACTGGTCATGTGACTGAAAGCTCCCGGTGGGAGAATGCTTCCTGTCTGTAGAACCCAGTAGAACAGGCTTTTCTCTTCAGCAGTGAACCTGGGTGGCCTGACATGCTGGTACCGTCCCCAATGGAGGGTTTAGAACATTTGACCTGGTCAAAGGCGCCAGGTGGGAGTGGAGTGGTCCTGGATGACATCTTCACCCACCTGTGTGCTGCCACGTGAAAGGCAGGTGAGTTTCACCTTCTGGACTTAAATGGCAGATTACAGGAAGAAATATCCTGTTGTATCCATGGAACAATGCTCTAACAATGACAGCTATTGTAGAAAGGACTGCCTTAAGAGATGGTGTCTTGAGAGGGTTCGAGCAGACTCGATACCATCAGCTGAGTATGCCTAACCTGCCCATATATACTACAATGTAAACTAACATTTAAACTGCCCCTCCAACACACACACACACAGTCATGTGGCATATGTGGCTCAGAGAGGGGTGACAAAGCATTCTAAATCCTGACCAATATAGATGATCTATCATATTTAAGGGGAGGGGAGGGTAAACCCTGGAAAGGAAAAGAGAACGTACATGTGGGCCTGGAAAGGACAAGAGAACATACATGTACAGTGCCTCTCATCCTGTTCTCTAGTACCTTCATCTGGGACTAGAGAACAGGATGAGAGGCACTGGCTTAGAAATAGGTAATTTAAGGAGGCGAGAACCTAAGGACCTTGCTCTTGCCAACACTGAATCTGACTCAGGAGCAGAAACACCTGCTACCTGGCACAATCCTCACCACAGATATTCCTACACTTTATGGGTGAGGAAACTGAGACTCAGGAGGCTTAATAACTTGCCCATCACCACAGTACACCAGTAAGTGGTGGAAAGTTGGCCTAAAACAGAACTTCTTAGCTCCAAATTCTGGGCTCCACCTTAAGCTGAAATTCTAAAGCACAAAAACTTTAAAAATAAGAAACTCAAAACCCAACTAATTATCTTCCTAAGCCTGGAAGGCTTTATCTTCTAACCCCTGCCTTTCAGTGTGATCACAGTGTCTCTGGAATCAATGGCTGTTCTGAACCTCAACTGCACTACCGCTAACTCTGCAACCTTGGGCGTGTTTCTTCACTCCCCTAAGTCTCATTTTCCCGGTTTGTAAAAGGGGGTGATGACAGTACTTGTTGAAGAGTAAAAATTAATCAAGGTGACAGTTGCAGAAGAGCTCAGCGCTGGTTCTGGACATGTCACATGTTCCATTATCATCCATCATTGCCACTCCTGTAACCTCTGCTTCTAACTGGCACCAAGATCACTAGATCCCACATTTAAATGTCTCCTCCTCCACCCTCTAACCCCAAGACAAATTTCAAGTCAACTACAACACATTTTTACCCTCTTTTCCACCTTCAGCCTTGCCTCTCCCTAAACCATCTTCCTAACTGCCTCCAATTATTATCCTAAAATAAAATCTCATCAGACGACTTCCTTGCTCAACATGCTTTGAAGGCTTTGTCTATATGAGAGATAATATCCAGATTGATTGGTAAAGACCTTTATAGCCAGCCCTGGCCTCCTCACTTCATTTCCCACACTCCACATGCCAAACGTGCCATGCTCCCTGCCCATGTGGTTCTTTCCATGTGAAATGTCCTTCCCTCCTCATGGCTGCTTAAGGAAACCAAATCAGCTTTCAGGCCCCACTTAAATATCTCAATCTTTTCTTAGAACTCCATCTGCACTCCCACACACACCTACCACACCTGACAAGCTTTTTTACAGTCTACTAGGTATGATTCTACAGCTCTATTTTTTTTTTAAAGCACCAAGAAGGGCAGAAACTATACCTTTTTTAAAAATATATATATATATATTTATTGATTTCAGAGAGAAAGGGAGAGGGAGAAAGAAAACAAAAACAAACAAAAAAAAAACATTAATGATGAGTTAGAATCACTAATTGGCTGCCTCCTGCACACTAGGGATCGAGCCCACAACCCAGGCATGTGCCCTGACCGGGAATCAAACCATGACCTCCTGTTTCATAGGTCAACGCTCACCACTGAGCCATGCCGGCCACAGGAACTGTACCTTAACCACCTCTACAACCCCAGTCCCTGGCATGCCACACCTAGCTCTGAGTGGTGGGCACCTATGATACACCCTCTCCTTTCCCTGGAATAGAGATGTTTGGGTTTCAAAAGGCTTCTTCAGCTACCACAAAAATATAATCACTCATCTTCATCTAGCTATATTCAAAAGCATGGCACCTTAAAAAATAAGATAACTTGTTAGCTTCACTAAAAATGGTAAAGAGATATTTTACTTATCCCAATTCATGTGATTCTCAGAAGAACAAAGCTAATAATTTCTACACAGAAGGCAGCATCCAAAAGAGAACAGAGCTCTCTAGCATGGCTGGCGTCTCTCTGTCTAGGGCTTGCCAGGGTCTTCATGTGCATTGTGTAGTGTTCAGAAATACAAATATGACTGTTCTTTCTGAAACCGAACAGAATGACAGTTTGCCAAACCACAGCAGGAAGGATGCAGCAAGGGTGCCTGGAACAACCTGGGTGCCTGGCACAGCACAGGAACAAGCAGAGGCCAGCTCTGATGGTGGCTGTTTGGGCAAGGGAACTTTCTATGTTGGGCCCATTGTGTTCCCTAACCAATGACAGCGCTCTAAAACCATGAAAGTGAGCACCTGCAGGTTTAAATACTTCATCAGCAATGCTAACAGAGGCTACTCCTCACAATGTCCTCCTAAGAGTACTTGCACAATAATAAGGGCAGGAAAGGACTGGTCTGTAGGTAAGAATGAATTTTAGAAAATACTGAGTTAAAAAATTTAGCTGTATTAGCTGAAACCGGTTTGGCTCAATGGATAGAGCGTCGGCTTGGGAATTGAAAGGTCCCGAGTTTGATTCCGGCCAAGGGCATGTACCTTGGTTGTGGGCATATCCCCAGTACGGGGTGTGCAAGAGGCAGCTGTTGATGACTCTCTCTCATCGATGTTCCTAACTCTTTCTCTCCCTTCCTCTCTGTACAAAATCAATAAAATATATATTTTTAAAAATTTTAGCTGTATTAATCCAATTCAGCCATTAGTGCTTGGATGGCATTTTAATATGAACTTTGGTCCGCATAAATCTATTCTCTCCATTCTAAGTGAATAGTTAGAAAATACTACACTTTCTGGAAGGCAGAACTGGCCAGTGAGAGTCATGGTCAAATTTATCCCAGGAAGATTACAGTAATAAACTCTAGTCACTAACAATCATCTTTAATAAATGCCTACCGACCATTAAAGCTCTGGGGACAGATTAATCAAGATTGTTGTATACAGAGAAATCTTTTGAAGTCTGACATTTCACAATCTCCCTAAGCCCAGAGAGATTTGAATATGTACCCCCTGGTCACGGAACAAAGTAGAAACCAGCACGTATCTGCTGATTGAATGAAGGAGTGGCTGAATCATGGCATGAAACTAATGCAGAAAAGGGAACCAAAGAGAGGAAAATTAGTTTCCCAACTGCTCAGGAATCACATCTTCAAAGTTGTTTGTTTTCTTTTTAAACCTGCCGGTGGCTTAGTGCAACGGTCACCAACTTTTTAACCTCGGTCCGCAGACCACTGGTTGGTGACTGCTGGCTTAGTGCACATTTCTGGTGTAAGGATGCTGATGTCCTGGTGACATATTAAGCATAATAAAAACTAAATATGGCTGAGTAAACAACAAAGACAACTTAGTTCTGGATCCCAGTAAACAAGAGCTCAAACTGAAACCCAGACCTGACAGCTGGGAGAAGCAAACTAGTTGGTTCTATCAAAGCTGATCTGGGATGCTGTGTGCAAGTAAGAGGGTAGGAAAGGTCCCTTCTAGCTGAGACCTCAGTGAGCCATAAGCCGAACCTAGGACACCTGACTCAGGATCTGCTCTATCAAGTGGGCATGATCAGGATCAGGGGCTGTCCTTGTACTACCCCGGCAGAAAGAGGTAGAGAATGCAAGGTGAAAACAGGAACTGAGAGCCCCCAGCTGTGAAATGGTCCCTGAGAAAAGCTACTTTCATGCTGAGCCAAAAAGCTCTGAAGTCTCTGGTAAGCACCACATTACACCCAGCATCAAACTGGATTTTCCTGCAGCACTGTTTCTAAGTATAGGGTTTAAATTTAAAGAAATATTATTAAAAAATAAATATAGTAGGACTGGTTACTTCTGCCCCCGAAGTGTCACAAGTTCCTCTGTTTAGAACTCTAGAGATGAGAGATTCAGGAACAATGAGTACTTACTTTCTTCCAGCTCTAAAGATAGGAGAGGCGACCAGCGACCTCTGGCTATGGTGTGACCTGCAGGCAGCCCCTTCACCACACACCACAGCATGTGGATTACCCAGGGTCCTACCTCAGCCCTTGGCCATATCAACACTTATTAATAGTCCACTGGCACGGAAACAAAAAGTAGAGGGGGGGAGGAGATCAAAGAGCTTATTCAAGACTTAGTTTTTAGTAACTAACAAAAGGCTGATGTTTAATTTACCAAAAAGCATTTTACCGAGCATGCCCATTATTGGCTGTAAAAAATGTATCCACTATGTATGCACCATGATCCCTGTCCTCAGAGTACATCAAGATGGAAAGGAGGTAAGTGAAAGATCAACCACAATCCATAATAAAAGCATAACATTCTAATTAGACAGGAATCCTTCCAGACGACCTTCGGACAAAGCCAGGGCTGAGAGGGAAGCCCGGGTCCGGGGTGCCTGCTGGCGGCCAGGAGGAAATCCGGATCCCGGTGCCAGAGGGAAGCCAGTGTCGGCAGCCAGGGGAAGTCCTACTTTTGCACAAATTTCGTGCATCAGGCCTCTAGTATACTTAATAAAGCAATGAAGAAAGCTAAAGGGAATGTATGACTAACTGCCAAAGAGCCATCACAGGAGCAGGTTCAGGTTTAAGACTGTACCACCCAAGTGATGTGTGAATGTCCTTCCTACGCTACACACACACACCTCCCCACCCCTGAGGAGCCGGAGGACTACAGGGTGAAACCGCTCAGGTCAGAGCGTCAGCTGGTGCAGGTTAGTGCTATCATTGCTCTGCCAGTGTACCTGTGGACATCACTCACCACACCAGCTCTCTTCCCCCAAGTCTGGTCTCAGCCCCTTTCAGATCAGCCTTCTCAAGACACTCCTCCCACACTCAGAAAGGTCTACCATCTCTAAATGACCCCCCTCCCCAAAACACTCAGTACCTCAGGCTTGCTGTCCACCACATCCACCTCGAGGGCGACTTCGGATTGGAGGATTTTCTGCTTAGCTTGCTCCACAGCCGAACTGAGCTTGTGTATGTAGGACTGCAGCTCTTCTGGGGAGTCCATGTTCAGCTCCATCAGAGCTTTGTGAAACTGATCCATCTGGCCATCCTCTAGAAGTTCCTGAAACCAGAGGAGTCACCATTCATCCTCGAAGTCATCAGCGCAATCACAGACAGGAAGGAAAGAGAAGTAGCTTAGAGCCAGAGAACTACAGCAGGACAGGACTCCTAGAGCGCCTCAGCCCGCCCCACCACAAAACCACACCTCCCCCAAAGGTCCCCACAGCTGTCCTCCCCAGCTGTCCCTATGTTGCCACGGCATCATGGTTTCAGGCTACCTGACCAGGCAAAACTAACCTATGGTGACAGACATCAGAAACATTGTCGTTGAAACCGGTTTGGCTCAGTGGATAGAGCGTTGGCCTGTGGACTGAAAGGTCCCAGGTTTGATCCCGGTCAAGGGCATGTACCTTGGTTGCAGGCACATCCCCAGTTGGGGGTGTACAAGAGGCAGCTGATCAACGATTCTCTCTCATCGATGTTTCTAACTCTCTATCCCTCTCTCTTCCTCTCTGTGAAAAATCAATAAAAATATATTTTAAAAAAAGAAAAGAAAAAGAAAAGTTGTCTTCTTTTGGGTGGGAGAAGTGGGAAGGTTACTAAGAGTAGGCAGGAGGAGAGACTGCTGGGGTGCCGGTAATGCTCTATTTCTGGATCTGAACAGCAGACACACAGGGTGTTTCACGTTGTGAAAATACATGAGCTACACACTTCAGATTTGTGCACTTTGCAGCGTGTGTGCTACACTAACATTAAAAAATTAAAAGACAAACTAAAGGGGATTAAAAGGCTGACGTAAATCAACAAAGCCAGAGTCCACGGTTATTTCAAAAATGCCTGCTGCGATACCATCCTCTATACTGACGATCCCAGACTCCTTCATGACCCCAAGGGCAACTCAGTCGACGCATTCTGTGGGTAAGGAAGAACGTACAGGAGGAGCGTTTGCTGAGCAAGGCCGGCCCATCTGGGACCTGCTGTTACCTGCACGTACTGCAGCCTGTCCAGCCGCTCCTGATCCAGCTGCAGCTTCGCCTCCCGCCGCCGGGCGTTCAGCTCCTGCAGCCGCCGCAGCTGCTGCTGCCGCCTTTCCTGCTTCTCCTCGGCGGTCAGAGTGCTGCCGAGGAGCTTGCTGGAAAACGGGAGCTGCATTTTATGCACATTGTTTTCGTAATAGTCAGGGCACCGCCACTTCTGCAATTCTTCAAATGAATAAGTTTAAAAGTTAAGAAATACAGAAAAATTAGAAAGACAATACCAGAAGAGCACACGCCGTACAATCTCTGAACTATCCAATCAGCAAAATGCAGCCATGAAACTGCACACCATGCCAACAGACTTCCTCTGAAATAATTGCTACGGGAAGGGACTTCAGACGGAAATGATGCCAGAAGGAAAACTGGAATACCGGGAATGAGTGAAGAGCAGTGGAAATGATGGAAATCTGGTTAAATGTAACAAACATCTTCTTGAGTTCAAAATGTTTGACAATTAAAAGTAAAAACCACACGCTGTCTGATGAGTTCCCAATGTTGTGGATGATTACATAAGACACCTCCAGCACAAAGGAGGAAAGAGAAAGGACCCCTTGGCATGCTAACATTTCCACATTCTACTTGAAGTGGTAAAATAGCGATTCTAAGAAGACTGTGTAAAGTATGCTTATTGTACCCTCTAGAGCAATCACTGAAAAAACTACAGAAAGGTATAGTAAAGCCCGACCAGCAAGTTCAGTAGTTGAGCATCGACCTATGAACCAGGAGGTATGGTTCGATTCCCAGTCAGAGTTGTGGGCTTGGTCCCAGTAGGGGACATACAGGAGGCAGCCGATCAATGATTCTTTTTCATCACTAATATTTCGATCTCTTTCTCACTCTCCCTTCCTCTCTAAAATCAATAAAAATATATTTTTAAAAAGATATAAATAAATGGAAAGACATACTATTTATCAACTGAAGATTCAACATAATAAAAAATGTCAATTCTTTCCAATGGACTTAATATTATTTCTCCATTTATATTTAGAATGTTGTTGTCCTATATCCAATTTTATCTGTAGATTTAACGTACTTTCAAATAAAATCCTAACAGAATTTTGCTGTCGATATGGATGGACAAGTTGATCCTAACATTTATATGGAAAGGCAAGAAACTAGAATAGCCAAAACAATTTTGAAAATAACCTGCATGGGTAAGTTATCCGTTAACTAAAGATTTTATTGAAGTAATACCAAAAGAGAAAGGGGATGCTAAAAAGTACTGAGTTAAAAAAATGAGCAAATGAGTTATCCTGGAAACAATTTAAGGAGCGCCCCCAAAGCCAACACCCAAAAGTTGCAAGCACCCACTTCTCCCTCACCTTCTGCATAATCCTCGGCGATGTAGCTGTGCTCATGCAGGATCTCCTCCATGCGGCTGAGGGTGATAGCTGCCAGGTGCCCAGGGTACTTTAGCTGCAGGAGACGCTGGAGGTAGCCAGCTGCTTGGCTTCCTCCCAGATTGATGCGTTTGCAATTTTTAGCATCTAATCTACAACCAAGAAATGGAAAACAACACTTTTTTTTTAAAAAAAAACAGTTTATTGATTTTTAGGGAGGGAGAGAAACACCGTTTAGTTGCCTCCTATATATCCCCTACCGGGAATGGAGCCTGAAACACAGGCATGTGCCCTGACTGGGAATCCAACCAGCAACCTTTCAGTGCAAGTGATGACATCCAACCAACTGAGCCACACCGGCCAGAGCAACAGCACTTATTCTTGACAGCATGAAAGAGAATATGGAGCACCGTTGGGGAGAAAAGATAATTTAATGTAAATGCAGGAGGAAGAACCAGACCAGCTGGGAGAACATAAAACCTTAGTTGGAAGGGACTTTCAAGTTCCCTTGGTCCAACCTCTTAACCAATGCAGACTTCCTAGTCCACACCCAGACAGACATGTGCCCATCAAACTCCTGGCAAGCGTTTCAGAAGGAAACCAGTTCAATGGGAAGGACATGTACTCTGAAGTCAGACCCACCATCCATTTCTCAGACTATGGTCCTGGAACCAAGTATCCTGGAATTAGCTGAGGAAATGTTAAATGCACCCATTCTCAGGTCTCATTTGCTCTGGGATGGCCTGGGAATTTGCATTTTAACAAGCTTCCCAGGTAACTCCAGTACAAGCCAGACTTTTGAGACTCCCTTCCCCAAACGCTCCACTTCTACTGACACACATTAAGTAATGCCAGGTATATTGGCTTAGTGTAACTCCTTAAGACTACCATGAACTGAAGGGAAAGAAAACCAGAGTAACTTTGTGTTCTTAATGAGAGAGTAGCAGAGCACTAGGAAGTTGCTCTATATTGATATGTCGCTGCTCTATCACTCCTCACCAGCAGATGCCAGCATAGAACAGAATATACTCCAATCTGATCATTTCTTAGCCTTCAGGTAAAATAATTTTCTCTAAATACAAGATAAAAGTAACAATATCATCATTAATTTCTGCATATTGCTTTACCTAATGTAGACAACTCTGCACTGAAGTGTTTGGTAATGTCTAAGAATTACTTTTTTCTTCATTAATTTTTGTAAAAATTTTAAGAGAAATTCCTACTCTAGGGCTCAATATATCCCACAGCATTTGTTTTAACTTAAATGTTCCTAGTGCTTTATAATTTATAACACGCCATCATCTACATTATCTCATTTCATCCTCAGGATAACCCTGAGCAATCCATTTTTCCCGTTTTACATGTTAGGAAACTAAGTGAAGAGGCTAAGTACCTCAATCTTAGCCGGACTACAAACCAGGCATTCAACTCCAAAGCTATAACTTATTTTCTTAATATATTTTTATTGATTTCAGAGAGGAAGGGAGAGGGAAAGAGAGATAGAAACGTCAATGATAAAAATCATTGATTAGCTGCCTCCTGCACACCCCTTATTGGGAATCAAGACCACAACCCGGACATATGCCCTTGACCAGAATCGAAACCGGGACCCTTCAGTCCATAGGCCCACACTGAGCCAAACAGGCTAGGGCAAAGCCAGGACTCTTTTCTTGTACATCCCCTTTATTCAATGAGAAATCTCAGGAGATCATGATGCTGGCCTAGTCTCTCATCAGAGAACAGAAGCCCAGCTATAAAATGAGGACCGATTTTAGACATGACAGAAACTACCCTCACTTTTTATTCAACTCAAAAACATTTAATAAGTACCTATGATGTGCCAAGCACTGTGTGTGAGAAAGGTCAAAACTATGGTGATTAAAGAGCTTTAAATAAAAATCATGCTATCTTAATAAGAAAGTGACTCCAGAACACAAAAATAGTCTAAATTAAGTTTATTCAAGTCATTTATTCAAATATTTTTTTTTGAGCCCCTAGTACCTGCAGGTACTGTATTAGCTATCTCACCTAAATCAGAATTACAAAATTCCAGAATTGTGGATTTGGACCTCGGAGACCATCCACCTCAACTCCTTCCACGAGGGCACAAAGAATGGAAGGTGAAGTGACTGACCCACAGTCACAAAGTGAGACAGGTCAGAGCTAAGCCCGGAGGCCAGTTCATGGTCCGGTCGGTACCTACTCTTTCAACTCCACCTTTAAAGCAGGCACCCCATCAATGTTTCCCGAATGCTCCTCAAAGAGTACTCACATGCTGTCGGTGCAACTCACCTCCCTTCTAAGATGGGTAAAATGTGTGTGCACTGGTACCCAGATGAAATGATGAGCCCACTGGAGATGGAGGTCTTTGGCTTGTTGTGGTAGAAGCTGAACAGGCTGTCTATCCCGTAGGCCAGCTTGGGAATCCTGTAGCACTCAAAAAGGAGCTCGGACATCATCTGTCGCGAATACAGTGGGTTGCACACCGCTTCTGTCAGAACGATGGGGTGATCCACACAGCCCTACTTTGAAACAAAAGAACAAGGAGGTGGGTGATACAAGAATACTCTTCTTAAAGCACAAAAGAAACAAAAAATGCTGAATTTGCTTTTGGTCTCCAACCAAAAACCTGATCAGAAGCAGCCGTAAAACATTCCTCTCATTTCTATGGGAAGTGGTTTTGGAAAATATGAACGCAGGGGTCAATTTAAGGTTATGAAGTCAAGCCCCTTCCAAATTCTCAGTGAATCATAACGGCTCTATCTTCAAAATAGCTCCAGAACCCAACCACTTCTTACCCCATCTCCCCCATTCCCTGCTGCCTCCTTCGGATAAGTCACCATCACCTCTCACCCAGGTGATTGCAGCAGCCTCCTCCCTGGTCTTCCAGTTCCATCTGTGACCCATGCCAGTCCATTTCCCATACAGCAGCTCCAGCGACCGCTCTGGAACATCAGTCATGCTCCTCCTCTGCTCCATACCAAGGATCCTCAGGTCACTCGGTAGAAGCCTGGGTGTGTAATGTGTCCCCTCCTCACCTCAGAATTCCTCTTCCACTTACTACCGCCCCGCCCTCACGCCCGCTGCCCTGCAGTTAGGATCAGGGCATCCTTCTGCCCTGGGCCTTTCCACTGGTGGTTTCCTCCCTCTGTACCACGATTCCCTCAGATATCACGTGGCCTGCTCCCTCAATAACCTCCTTCAAGTCCCGACTCCAACATCACCTTTTTCCTCACCCCTCTCCTCTCCTTCTACCATGCCATAAAATCTATTACTTAATTCTACTTACCGTCTGTCTCTCCATACTATTAATAGAACGTCTTTCCATACTACCCTGTTTCACCGAAAATAAGACAGTGTCTTATATCAATTTTTTTTCTCCCAAAGTTGTGCTAGGTCTTATTTTCAGGGGATGTCTTATCTTTCCATGCGCTAGGTCTTATTTTCGGAGGATGTCTTATTTTCGGGGAAACACAAGCACAGGTTTTGTGTTACATTCACAGATGCATTCCAAACGCCTAGAAAAGTGCCCGATGCACATTAGTTAATAAGTGAACTTATTAACAAAGGAGCAATATGCCCGACTGTACGCTCCAGGAGAAAAGGGGCGTGGTTCTGTCCGTGCTGTATCCCAAGCGCCTCCGGCTTACACGCGTTAGGCGCTCCGTAGCTGAAGGAGCGACTAACTGAATGAATGATTCCATAACGATCAGCGCCACGAGAGTGGCTCTTCTTTCTCTGAGGGCAGAGAGAGCGGGGACAAGACCTCGTCCCTCCCGCTCCAGCCCCACCCGCCTCCCTCCCCGCCCGCCCGCCCGCCCTCCGCGAGGCTCACCTGCGAGGAGACCCCCAGGTGCTGGAAGCAGTAGTCAAACAGCAGCTCCTGCAGCTCCAGGTTGACCGGCACGTTGCGGTCGAAGGGCGAGCGCAGCATCCAGCGCAGCGGCTCCAGGCTGCCCAGCGCGTTGCCCACCTGCGGGCCCGCCCCGCCCCGCGCCGCGCCCCGCCCGCGGGCGCACACGGCGCGGAACTGCAGGCGCGGCTCCGGGCCTGCGTCCGGCCCGGGGCACGCCCAGCCGGCGCGGACCTGGAATGACCCGTTGTCCAGCACCAGCGGCACCGGCAGCGGCCCTGGAGCCACCGGGCCGGCCTCCAGCACCGGGTCTGGGGTGGCGCGGGCGTCCCGGAACGGGAACACGTTCCCCGCCGGCGCCGCGGCCCCGGACGCCGCCATCTTGCGCCGCGCGCGCTGGCCCCGCCCCCCGCCGCAGCGTCCGCCCCGACGGCGCGAAGCCCCGCCCCGGCGCGTCACGCCGGGCGGCTCGGGTCCTAAAGAACTTCCGGACCTCATCTCCTCGCCGAGGCCGGCGGCCCTCTGCGCCCGGCTCGCGCCTCGCGGCCCAGGCCACCCTCGGGACCGCTGGGGCCCGACCATCCTGGCGGTTAAGTCCCGCGGTTGCATAACCTCGTCTTACTACCCGGTCTCGCCACGCCCCTTCGCTCCAGCCGGGACTCTGGGCCAATCAGCCGCGCCCCAGTGCGCAGCGCCGTCAAGCCCCGCCCCCTCCTGCCTCCGGGAGGCCCCGCCTTCGCGCCTGGCCACGCCCCATTCCCCCGGGGAACTCACCTTCTACAGCCCTCGGTTCCGCCTCCACGTGGTTACCTTGCCCTCAGCCTCTCAGTCAAGGAACTGCAAGCTCTGAGTCACTGATTGTTCAATTACATTAAAATATATATATATATATATTTTTTAATTTTTTACAGAGAGGAAGAGAAAAGATAGTCAGAAACATCAGTGAGAGAGAAACATCCATCAGCTGCCTCCTGCACACCTCCCACTGGGGATGTGCCCGCAACCAAGGTACAAAAGTCCTTAAATGTGTTTGTGTAGTTTAGACTGCCTTCTTGCACTGCTGATGTTAGTCACGAGAAGGGCTTGTCTGAAGTCTAAAGAGGATGAAAGACCCATGGATAGGATGCGAACGCAAACTGCAGCCTGGAGCCAAGTCCAGCTGACATGCAACCTAAAGCTGAGCCATCCCCACAGACCCATGAACAAGAAAAGTTTATTCTGAAATTCTGAGGTTTCTATGCAGCATTATTGCTGCAGGAAAATGACAGATACACTAGATCAAAGTTGTCCACCTGGTACTTCCTGCCTTGATGGAAATATTCTACAACCTGCATTGTCCACTGCAGTAGCCACTAACCACATGTGGCTATTGAGCACTTGAAATGTGAGTAATGCAGGTGAGGGACTGAGTTTTTCACTTTATTTTATTTACATTTACATTTAAATAACCATATGTATCTAGTGACTATTCTGTTGCACAATGTAGCACTAGCCAGAATCTGCCTGTGGAAATGACTAGAAGAAAATAGATCATAAGCTTGGGGTTACAAGGCCCTGGAACTCCAAGTGTCCTCCACACAGCCCTCAGCACAAGGTCTTTGCTCCAGCTGAGACATCCGCTAAAATGACAAAAGCCTAAAACAGAGAAACAGGTAAAAAATCTGGGAGGTCAGCAGCCTCTTCAAGAGTTTCACAAGGACTCATACAGCTCTGAGATCTTGAGGCTCCGTCCCCTTACACTTGACCTCCATCCCTTAGATTCATCTGGTCTTGGGAAAACAGCTCAGTCAAGATCAAAAGACACCTTGTCTGTCTTCTTTACTGTTGCATCCTGAAGCCTAGAGTAGTTGTTAGCCCTATGTGTGTGGCCTGAAGTGTGCTCAATAAATATTTAATAAATAAACCCTTTGTGCCTGCCAGAACTTGTACTAAGTACTAGGCCAGTGGTCAACAAACTCATTAGTCAACAGAGCTTCACCCCATTTGGCTGGGCTCTCAGCACTGCCAGGCCATCCTGCTGGGTGTCCCTGGCCAGAGGCCCCTCTTCACCTGGTCCTTCTGGACCCCACAACTTGCAGAGGAGGTGTGGAATTCATGGTAGCCAGATCCTGGAAAACACTCAATCCAAACCTGTAGGGAATAGAGTTTACCTCCCAAACCTTACCTCACACCTAGGGCTGGGATTAGGATGAGGCAAGAGAGGCATTTGCTTAGAGAGCAACATTCTAGGGGTGTAAAAACATTCAATAAGCAAGGTAACATTTTGTGAAATGTGTCTTAAAAAAAAAGATTAAAAGCCAAAGTGAGCTATGATTTTCAAAATAACACGACGAACGAAATCATGACACTCGAAATAAATACAAGATTGGTATTGCTGGTATTTCCTTTGGCTTCCATATGGCTTAACACAGCGCTGCGGGGGCACTGCTCTATCTGAAAGTCATGGTCGCTGATCCTATGAGTTTGGGAAGGAAATGATGCTGAGGAATCTTGCCTGGCCTATCCTTGAGCTCCCTGCTGATCAACTTCTACCCATGCACTTGGGTGTTGCCTGAGAGCAAGTCTGGGGAGGGGTCTCCTAGGGACGAGGGTGTGGGCCTTCCCTTAGGACACTGGGAGGCTGGCTCTCCCGTCCCTAATCTGGGGACCGAGTGCGGGGGGGGGGGGGGGGGGGGCCGCGCCCGGAGAGGGGGATGCACGGGCTCCTGCTAGCGGAGCACAAAGCAGGGAGCCAGGGTATTGTGGAGCGGAGCTGGGCAAGCCTGCGGATGTGGCAGCCGCTGTGCAGAGTCGCCTGGCGCCTCATTTGTCCTTTTAAAGACAGGAAGGACCCAGCTGGTGCAGCATGGCGTTTCCGCCTTCCTCTCCACCACAGAAGTCCAGGCTTTCTCTGAACAGCGCACCCCAGGGTCCATGGGCCCGCAGAGGAGCAGTGGGAAGTGGGGTGGAGGGGGGAACAGTCAGCTGGCTCTCCAGGACTGGGAGACAGGGAAGGGGGAGGGGGCCTGGAGACTGAGCATCTTCTGGCCAGCTCCGAATCTTGAACGCGGCAATAGTGACAATAGGGCGTTAGGGGGTGACAGCAGTCATCTCAAATGGCGTGAAATCGTCAGAAGCAAAGAGTGGCCGAGGGATCGGATCTGATCTCCCTTCCGCCCCACTCCCATTCGCTGGCTGCAGAACCGCTATCACACACACTGGCGCGCACAGAGGCTCATCCGAGTCCTCACGAGATGCAAGTACGTACAGCCTTCCCCTCACCCCTCATGCCTACCTTTGGATGGGCGTGCTCTCTCTCACACCTGCACACATGCAGCCCGCTGCAGCCCGCAGGGAGGAATTGACAGGTACTTAGGCATTCTCCCGGTGCCTCCCGCCCCAACTGCACCAGGAGAATTCGGTCCAAACGGGCCCACCGTGGGGCTGGAGGCCAAGAATCTCCTGCTAGGCTTCTCTCGTTTGATTCGCGCCTTCCCGCACTCCCAGATCCCTTCTGGAAAGTCTAACCATGACCCTTCCCAGCCATCCCGGAACTGGCTCTCCTGGAGGCAGGGCCAGCGCTGCCCCTGGCATAGGATCTGCACAAAAAGGGGCTGGGTGATTCAAGCAAACGCGTGCTCCACGGCTGTGCAAGAAAAAGGGAGATTGGGGCCCGGATAGTTCAGGGCTGCTGGTTCTAGAAAGCCAGGTTTCTTCACTGTGGCTGTGTAACCCCAAGCTTGGACTTGAGGGTGGTGGAGGTGGTGGGGGTGGTGGCAGGTGTTCTTTAGGGTGAGATGCCTTCCAGCCCAGGCAGTCACGCTGGGAGTTCTGGTGTCTTTGTTGATCGCCTCTCTGCTAAACTGCAAACTCCCCGAGGTCCGGGCTGCGTTTGTGCCCCCTGGAACCCAGCACGGTCCTAGCTAAGAGGGGCTGTCCACCAGCACCCACTGAACACCGCGGGGGGCTGTCATTGGCATCAGCAAGCCTTTGTTTTCAATGGGAGCAAATTCTCCCCCAAATTCTCCGATGGATCCTGCCCTGGGGAGGGATGGAAACAAACCTTGTCCTGGCGGCTGAGAGGCGGAGATGAGACGGCAGGGAATCCCGCTCCTTCCACTGCGTGTCCTCCCTCCCCCACCCCCTACCCGGAGAGGGGGATGCACGGGCTCCTGCTAGCGGAGCACAAAGCAGGGAGCCAGGGTATTGTGGCGGCCCCCACCCCCGCCCCTAGCACCTGCAGAGCCTCCCTCGGTGCAGACCGCCCCCCCTTCTCCTTGGAGCTCTCCCGCGACCCTTTCACGGCAGCTGCTTCATCACCCCCACCTGCTCCACCAGGCCTTACACACACACACACACACACACACACACACACACACGCACACACGCACACACACACCGCGCCGGGATCCCCGCGGGTGTAAAACGCAGAGCCGCGGGCGCCTTTGTTTCTTCTTTATTTGCGGATATAATGATGCGCCGCACTCTAAGTTAGAGATAGATTTTTTTTTTCTGATATAACATTTCATCGTATTCACCACGAGCACACAGCACACGCACAGAACAGTTCCACAAGATGAGTTTGGGTTCCTGGAAGCCCGCAGGCCAGCCAGCCCCGCCGCCGCTCCTCCTCGCCTCCCGCACCCCGCGCCCCTCCGATGGGGACCGCCCGCCGGAACGGGCTCCCCGCCGGCCTCGCCCGCCGCCGCGGGGCTGACCTATCTCCGGGAGGGGAAGGCTCTGGCTGGAAAGGGCTGGACGCTGCACAGGCTCCGAGCACTGGATGGATGTGAAATGTCCCGCCAAGGTCGCGTTTCTGCGCCTGCGAGCTGCTCCCCTCTCCCTCCCTCCCCACCCCTTCCCCTGGGGGGACGGGGGTCCAGGTAGGGGGCCTCCCCTGGAAGGACAGATCCCCGCCTTCCCTCCCCCCGCCCCCCCGACGCCGGGGTATGGTGGCAAAGAAAGGACCACAGACACGCAGACGCGATGGATTGTGGATCCCCATCCCCTCCCCCCGCCCCCCCATCCCCCAAAATCAGAGACTAGGAACCCGAGATGTTGAAAGCTTGGCTTCCCAAGCGCTGCGTCGGCGGGGCGGGGCGAGGCGGGGCGCCCGGGGCGGCGGGGGCGGGGGTGGCAGGGAAGAGGGAGGACGGAGGGGAGGAGCGCGGGAGGGAGCTGGCCCGCCCGCCCCGGGGCCGCCTAGTCCTCCGCGTTGGTCCCGTAGGCCTCGATGAGGCCCTCGAGCGAGTGCACGAAGCCGGACACGCTGCAGATGCCGCCGATGACGAAGATGGCCACGTCGAAGAAGACCTGGTGCCAGAGCAGCTTGCGCCAGAGCAGGCGCAGGTGGAAGAGGCTGGGCAGCAGGAAGCAGAGGCCGGCGCCCGTGAGGCTGCCCGTGAGGCCCATGAGCAGCGCGAAGTGCGGCACGTAGATGGCCATGAGCAGCGTGAAGACCACGAGCGCGCAGCGCAGCGTCAGCCCCCAGGGCTTGAGGCGGCCGTCGCCGCCGTAGCAGGCGGGGAAGAAGGCGCGGCCGCCCTCCTGGAAGAGCGACTTCTCCAGCACCTCGACGGCGGCGAAGAAGGGCAGCGGGTAGGACAGCAGCGCCTTGGCCACCAGGAAGAGGTTGACCACGGCGCGGATGGAGCCGGGCAGGTTGTCCGTGATGACCTCCTTGGTCTCGTCGGCCCAGGTGAGGTAGGCGACGAGGGCGAAGAGGCCCTTGAGCACGCAGGCGGCCACGTGCGTCCAGTTCATCATGCAGTGGAACTCGGCGGGCCGCTGCATGTTGCCCTCCAGCGAGGGCAGGAAGATCTGCGACGTGTAGCTGAACACGATGATGCCGATGGAGATGGGGAACTTCTTGACATCGATGTAGAACTTGACCTTCTCCCAGGCCCAGTCGCGCGCCCGCGACAGGCAGTAGGCGATGACCAGGATGTTGATGACGAAGTGGGCCAGCGTGCACAGCAGGCTGAACCGGGACACGGCCTTGAGGTTCTTGAGGAAGGCGCAGGGCAGCAGCAGCGCCGTGGCGATGATGGACCAGGACTTCTGCGACACGGGCAGCCCCGGGAAGCTGTTGTACATGAGGTTGCCGCTCACCACCACGTACAGGATGCAGGTCATGACCAGCTCGATGATCTGCGCCACGTTCACCACGCGCCCGCCCAGCGTGGGGAAGCGCGGGGCGCAGCACGCGTTGGCGATGGCCACGTACGAGTCCCGCACGCGCACCACCTCGCCGTCCTCGTTCTCCTCGTACAGGCAGGCGATGAGGATCTTGCCGGTGTAGCAGCACACCACGGCGGCGAAGATGATGAGGAACAGCCCCAGGTAGCCGCCGTGCAGGATGGCGTAGGGCAGGCCCAGCACGAACATACCCTGCGGGGCGGAAAAAGGCATCCAAACCCCGGGGCTGAGCTCTCAGGTGCGGCCTCCATAGAGAGCGGCGCCTGAGCCATGGCTGCAGGCTGCAGCCTGTAGGGGGCGCTAGAGAGAGCGAGCCCAAATGAAGGGTAGGCTTGACATAGGGGTGCAGAGCGCCTACATGGGGAGCCTGGGTGTGTTGAGGCAGAGATGGAGACGGAGGTGTGCAGAGAAGGAAAGGTGTGCTGATGGCTGGGAGGAGTGCAGTGGGCTGAGGGTGAAGTCAAACCACAAGGACAGAAGGAAAAAGGAGAGATTCCTGAGGATGCCTCCTGAGGGACAGAATCACGAGTGGGGACTTGGGAGGGGAGAAGGTGCTAGAAGGGCCGTCGCTAGCTAGCTAGGAAGGGCTCTAGGAAAGGTAGAGAGCTGGGTCTGAGCCCCAAGAAAGAGGGGGCGCAGGATTTAAGGAGGGGCTGCAGGGGGTGGCGGTGGAGGAAATCTAATCAGGGAACTGTGGGTGCCTGGAGGCTGAGCTGGAGAAGGAAACGTTCAAGGCGGCAGTGGGAGGGAGGAGCGGGGACAGAGTGCGGGGCAAGCCACGGGGAGGCGGGAACTGAGGGCCGGGGAGGACTTGTGTCAGGGGCTATAGGAAGGGGGGGTGGTGGTGGACCGCAGCAGGGGAGGCAGAAAGCAGGGTTGGAGGTAGGGAGTCCTGTGGCCCGGCCCTAAGAACGGGATGATTGGGACGCGTAGAGGCCAGCAGGATGCGTGGTGTTGCAAGGCCAGATCACGTGGGGACGGATAACCAGCAGCAGCGGGGCGGGCCGGTAGGGCTGGGGGAGGAGGGTTTAGCATCCCCTTGGGGAAGAAAGCTAACGAAACCCGGGGCTCCCCGGGTCCGCGGGCCTCGGGCCCCCCGCCCTGGCCTCCTCCTTGGCCCACGGAACGCGGCCTCCAAAGACGCCTCGGCGAGGGCGCAGACGGCCGTGGATGCGGGCGCAGCCCCCTCCGTTCCCCCCCTCCCTCCCGTGCCCGGTTCCGCCTGGGCCCTGGGGAGGGAGGCACCTCGGGACCGGCCACTCAGGGCGCAGGGCTCCGCAAAGCCCCGGAGCCCCAGGTCCTCAGCAACCTCGCCGAGGCCTCCCGTTCCCGGGAAACCCCCGTTCTGCTCCCCAACGACCGCGCGCTTTGGGGACGCCGTGGGGGGAGGCAGACCCCGGGGCCGAGGGCGCCTGGGGCTTAGGCCTCTTTGGCCCCAGGAGCCGCAGCCTGGCCGACCCCGCCAGCTCCCGCGTCGAGGTGCTGACTTCAGACTCGCCCCCGGCGGAGAGACTGGCGCCGCCTGGCGGGGAGCGGCGGGAGGGGTGCTGACAGGAAGGGTGAGGAGGTGCGGGCTGCCAGAGCATGGAGAGGCTGCTTCGCTTGGGTCACGACGCTGGTCTCCTCTCTGCGTTGGAGCCGGGATTTCAAGCGAGAGGGGGAGAGTCTGTGCGCGGGTCCAGCTGCGACTGCACGGACCCGGGAGCGGGTGTGTGTGTGTGTGTGTGTGTGTGTGTGTCCCTGAGCGGGCTGGTTACTGTGGGCACGAGTCAGTGCATATGTGCGACTGGGATATGTTCAGATGGGTTTCTGTGTGTATGCTTATGGGTTTGTGTGAGCTTCTGTATGTGCGGATATGCGTTTCTCTGTATTGGAGGTGTAGGGATAAGGAAGGTGCGTTTGAGGATAATCTTGTGGTCTGCGCATAGAGGCATGTCGTGTGCACCTGGGAGGACGGCTGAGGGCATGTGTGCCTGCCGATATACGTGTGCGTGTACGAGTATATGCGTGTGTGTCGAGGGAGGAGACTCCAGCTCAGCAAATTTCCCCTCTGCTTTCTGCCCCCCAAAATGAAGCTGTGGATCCATTCCGGAGTCCCATTGCGATGCAATCCTGATTTTCTTTCTCCCTCCCCTCTCCCTGCTCCCCCTCCTTCTGTTTCCCTCCCTTTTGCGGGGTTTGAGGGCAGGTGTCTCTGACCTAACCTCAGTCTGGCTGTGCTGGGCGGGCCAGACGCTGCGTGCCTGGGGGGCGCAGATGCCTCCTGGGGGCTGGGACGGAGGGAACCTCCCCCCTCCCCCCCTGTATTAGAGGGCGTCTGGCGGTCCAGGTCGCCAGGGGACTGGAGGGTGGGGATAAAGCCTGGTGGTGCTGGTGCTTGAGGGGGGGAGAGGTGGGGAGGGGAGGAGGAGGCAGACAGAGCTGGGAACCCCGCGCTCTCACCTGGATAGCGTTGGTCACGTTCCAGCCCGCCTCCCACGCCGTGATCTTGGGCTTGTCGTGGCCCCCGAACTCGCCCGCGGCCCCCACGGCCTGGTCCTTGGAGCCGGAGGGCGGCAGGGGCGCGCCGTCGCCGCGCTGGTAACGGATGTCTCCCTCGACGGGCGGCTCGGCGGCGCCCTCATCCCCATCGACGCGGGGCTCGCCCTCGGCCCTCAGGACGTCCATCTGCAGCCCCTGGCGGTGCTCGTAGTCCAGGTCGTCGCAGTGCGCGAACCCCACCGCCTCCTCGTCCGTGGCCGCCTGGAAGCCCATCCTGGCGAACACGCCGCTCACCTTGGCCTGGGACTTGTTGGACACGGCGGTGGCCACGTTGGTCAGCTTGCTGCGGAGCAGGGTGGCCATGGCGGCGGCGGCGGCGGGCCCGGAGGCAAGGACAGGGGGGCTGGCGGCGCGGGGCCCGGCGGGGCGGCGAGGTGCGGGGGGCGCGAGGCCGCTATCGGCTCCGGCTCTCCGCGCGGCGCCCCGGGGCGCTCGGGCTCATGCCCCTCCCGGCGGCGGCGGGGCTGGGGGACCGGGCGGGCGGCGGGCGGCAGAGGCCGGGGCGGACCGGGCGGGCTGCGGGGCGGCGGCAGCGGGCGCACTGCGGAGTGCGGGGCGCGGGCTGGGCTGCGGCGGCCGCGCGGCGTCAGAGCGGCTACGCGGAGCCCGAGCGGCGCCCCCGCCCTCCGCAGCCCCGTGCGCTCCCGCCCCCGGAATCGGGCGGGGGTGGGGGACCGGGAGGGGGACGCGGGACGGAGGCAGGGAGGGGGTGCGAGGAGGGGGCAGAGGGGAAGGGAAAGGGGGTGCTGAGGACCTCGGGGGACCGGAGAGGAGGGCAGGAGGGCGCCCGCGGGGAGGCGGCGGAGGGAGCGCGGGAAGACGGAGTGCGGAGGGCGCGGGGGGGGGGGGGGCGGGGAGGGTAAGTGCTGCATTTCTGGGGGAGGTGCTAAGCTGGATCCGGGCCCTCCTACCCCGCCGCCGCCGCAGGGAGGGAGAGAGGGGGCGGGCGTGCGGATTCCCGTGGTCCCAACCATCCCCTCCGGAGTCCGGGAGGGAGCCTTGTGGCCCCAGATTCTCCGGCCAAGGACGGGTCTGGATACCCTGCAAGGCAGCGGGACAGTGAGCTGTCGCTGCCTGCCAGGGCCGTCTGGGGGTCGATCTGCCTCCCTGGCACCCTCACACGCACTTAAGCCTGGCCTCAAGACCCCTTTGACCGGCAGGAGCGTCGGTCACGGTCACGGATTGCTCTCCAGAACGCCTAGCCCGGCGCCGGGACCGTCCCCGCCGGTCCGGGATGCTACGATGGAAGCGAATCTTCGGGTCGCTAGCTACCAACCAACCGCACTCCAACTGCGTGCGGGATGGAGGCGAAAGGTTGGCTTTTGGCTTTCTTTTCGTGCGGCGGGGCTGGAAGGAGGCAGGGCTTGGCGAGGGCATCGCTCGTGGCGGGTAGCGGGTCCGGCGGGGGAGATGCTCCGGGCCCGGGAGGAGGCGCGCGGGCGCTGGGCTTCGGCTCGCACGGCGGCTCCCGGGCCGTGGAAACCCGGACTGTTCCGCGGAGTGCATGTCGCGCGTACAAGAATGAGAGACAAAGACCGACACCGTGTCAGACAGTGACACGGGCTGGCTCCCGGTGGATCCCCAGGGTGAGAGACTCGGTAACCGTGTTTCTGTGAACGTGTAATTTTGTTCTCATTGGAACCTGGATGTGCACAGCGCTTGTGTGTTGAGTTTCATGTGTGTGCGCGTATGTTTCCAAAAGGATTGCCTGCGTTTTTGCCTGTGTGTCCTTTCCTTATTGTGCCCCCACCCCCCGTGTGTCCGCCGCTCAGGATGGGGTCCCCGTATGCGTTCCAGGCTGGACTCTCGCCCAGACCCCTCCGAAGCAGGAACCGGCACCTTTGCCACCCTGCTGACCCGGCCCAGGTGAAGGAGGATTAGCGGCTGCAGTGGAAGCCGGGGAGGGGGGAATCAGAAGGAAGAAAAAAGGCCCCTCAGTCTCTCCCCTCCTGAGGCCCTGAGTCTGGGAGGACCTCTGTGTGCTCCCCTGCAGTATTTCTAGATTAGCTCACGTCAGCGCACAAGTAGGGCGGCCTGAGGGCTTTGGCCAGGCTTCGGAGCTGCCAGGACAACAGCTTCCCCCCTTCGCCCCCCCCCCCCCACACACATACACTAAATCAGTCCCCTCCTCTCCTCTGCCTCACAGTCTCCCAGAATCTCCTCTCCGAATAGAAAACCTCCACCACATTGGACAGAGAAACTCCTAAAACCTCCCAATCTACCTCTTAAAATCCCCCCAAGAGCCTGCTTGGCAGAAAACAAGACCAGGACCCCCCCCCAACCTGAAGACCCCCACTGTGACAAGAAAAGCTGTCCATAGAGACCTTCCCCAGACAGATCCTCAGAATCCTGATAGGATTCCCTACAAAGATAGGACAGAGATCCTTCCTCCCCAACCCAGATCCTCTCCTCCAAAGAGGCTTTGAAATGGAACTGACCTCGCCCTGATGGGTTTGGCTCAGTGAAATGGAACTGACCTCCCATCCCAGAGGTTTGTTTGCCCTTGCACAATGACCCTCCCTGCCCCAGGCCCCAGGTTCTGGGGACAGAGAACCTTTTCCCCAGATTCCTGTAGACAAAGAGCATCCATCACCTTTTTTTGCATTCCCTCCACTTCTGTTCCAGGTGAAATTCTTTAGGCAGCCCCCAGATGATCTGGGCAGAGCCTGGGGTTCCCTAGTGCCCCCCATGCACATCCAGACCTGAAGGTAGCCATCGAGGCCTTCTCTGACAAGTGAATCAATGGCATACATGTATCAGTTGGTCATTGTCAATTCATGGGTTTTATGAGGGTCCAGAGTGTTTCATTTCTTCCCTTTTCCTTTGTGATGATCACTGCTGCAGGACCCACGGTGGACTGTGCCGTTCTTTCCGCAGGGGCACCCTCAGGAGAAATTCATTCATTAACCATTCGTTCAGCAAACCATCTCACAGCCCTACTATGCATGTGGTTCTCTTCTGGCTGTTGTGGGCATCACCAAGATGACCCAAGCATAGTCCTGTATGTGCTCTCCATCCCAATTTTTTGTGTCTAGGAGGCACCTCAGAGAGCTTTCGGTCCAATCATCCTTTCTGCGATGCTCAAACAAACCCTATAACCTCCTCGCAGAGCCTTACTTCCATACTTTGATCTTCAGCGTGCAGATCAGCAAACCCGGGCCTGGCAGTAACGTGTCCTGCTCAAGGTCACAGAGAGCCCAGGGGACAGCCAGGCCAGGGCCCAGGCATCCTGATGGCCCTCTTGTGCCTTCCCTTCCAAAACCTCATCTTGTCCTTCTAGCTCCTCTCCAGGCTCATTCAGTGTCTGGCCACTTTGCTGTCAAAAAAGATGAAATTCAAAATCAGATTCCAGGTTTGTTTGTTTTTTTGTTTTTGTTTTTTTGTTTTGGCTGTCATTAGATGGCAGCCACCTGGGGGAGGAATGCCTCTGTTTCTCTGTTTACCTTCTTTCCTGGGCAGCCAGCTCAGAAGCAGCCCATCCTGTACTGGAAAGCCATTTTCCATCATACACTAGCTGTGTGGCATTGAAATAATTAGCTCTTCTTCCGTTCCATTTCACATAAATAAAATGTGAAAATAACCCCACATTGAGAGGATGCTATGAGGTATTACATATAAAATGCTTAGTGCTAAGTGCCCAATATGCGGTAGCAATTATTTTATTGTTGTTGCTGTTGTTACCGTTATATCCAATGGCCATTTCTCATTGTTTGGGGGAAAGTGTGTGTGCAAGAAAAAGCCCATGATGGGTGTGGGAGTCAGAGAGAGTTGAACTGTACAGTCTTCTGTCTTTGCCTCACCTCCTTGTCCTTACCCCTCTAGTCCTGCGTCCACCTGAAGGGAGAGAAATGGAAGTCAGGAGTAGGGCAGAGGGCAGGGGACCTGGCAGGCAGCCCCAGGAGACAAACAGGACGACCTACCTAGCTGGTAATGAGTTGAGCCGTGCTCTAGGGAAACCATCAACCTCCAAATTCTCCTAAAAGCTCCTTCAGGGGCACCCTCAGGAGAAGAATTTGCAGCAGCTTGGCACCCTGAGTTGAAACACAACACACAACATGCACACACTCACACACAAAGAATGACAAGCTGACTGACAGGTGCACAAAGAAATGAGGCCAACACACAGATTCACGCACATGGGCAGATTTACTCAGGATGACAGAGCAATACGCACGGGCCGAGGACAGGCCGGCACACAGACTGACACACGCTAGGTTTGTACCGAGACTGCCCGCCACACAAAGAACCCAGTGCAGGCACCCCTCGATCCATTCCCCTGGGCAGAACTGGCTTCAACACACAGCAGTGCAAGGACAGGAATAGACATGGAAAGTCACACACACAGTGACAGATACCCAGACACAGGAAACCACGCGCGCGCACACACACACACACACACACACACACACAATTCACACTGAGACCAACAGTGAGGCACCCACAAATGAAAGAATACTCCCATATGATCACTGAAGGGGAAAAAAGGGGAGAACAAAGTGAGGGAATGGGGTAGAGGAGACATAAAAGAACACACTGGATGAGGGCATAGGGAGACAGACACAGCAGGACATTCCAGCAGCGGTGCCTGCCAGCAGGGCACAAAAGAGACACAGGTGCCACGGCCTTCCTCTTGGCCAGTGCCAGCACCCAGCTCTGTGACAAAGGAAATGCAGGCTGTGTGGCTGTGTGGTGAGGGAGCTGGAGCTGTCCCTGCTGCTGATCTGTGAAGAGTAGGGGCAGGGGCTTCCATCCCAGGGCCAGACAAGGTCCTACTGTCGTGGGGGAGTGGGCTGCCTGAGAGGCAGTGGATGAGGGGCTCCTGGGACTCTTGCCAAGCCCCAGGAAGCAAGGACTGTATTCCAGATCAGTCCTGCAGCCTGAGCCCAGGGGAGATGCACACTCTTCTTCCCACAGGAGATCCAGCTCTCTATGTTTGATGCCTTCAGTCCCCAAGGGGTTAAACGCCTGCTAATGGAGATGGAGGCCACTTTGGGGGAATAAATAGGGTTAAATAGAACTGGGCTTATCGCCCAGAGCAGACAGCAACATGGGGGTGGGGCACAGGGCCCTTGAATTAATGGCCTGGAAAGCCAACATCATGAGCATCATTTCGGGGCTGAATGATCACAGACAGGAACCCTCCCTCCCCCCTTCCCTTCCCAAAGCAAGTTCTGTCCGTGGGCCTTTTCCTGCCGTGAGGACAGGCACTGGCCCTAGAAATCACCCTTCCCTCTTCCAGCTGGAGCATCGGTGAGACTTCCTTGCAGCTGCATGCCCACCTTGCCCCAAACCCAAACCCAACT